CCCTAAACCCTAAACCCTAAACCCTAAACCCTAAACCCTAAACCCTAAACCCTAAACCCTAAACCCTAAACCCTAAACCCTAAACCCTAAACCCTAAACCCTAAACCCTAAACCCTAAACCCTAAACCCTAAACTTCGAACCCAATTCCCCTAGAATTAGGGTCTAGAACATACAGGAGCACCCGACACCAGACCACCACCACCACGAAAAGAGACAGACACACTGTGGACAGGACATACCCCTTGAATTAGGGTTTAGAAAATGTACAAGAAAATACCCTAAAAATTGGACTTGTTTCTCGACGCTGTCGATGACTTCTACCGCCATTTTCACCGGCATCGCGACACGGACGCCGTATCATGATAGCTTCGTGTGGATCACACACTTGAAGATTTTGTCCACCTTCGTGGCGTTCCGGTACATGGTTACCACATTCTTACAGGTATTTTTCCGCGCGCAAAAGCAAAAATTATTTGTTAGGCAGCGTCATCGAATTCTGCGCGCATGTGCTTATTACAACAAATCGAGCACTTCGCAAAGAAAAACAGTTTCACGGAAATATTTCGAGTTATGGGTATTTTTCTCTCACTTGGGGGCGGCAACGACGCTTGCATCTTCGAGAAGGTCAACTAGACACACGCGCTCACTCAAGCCCATGCTCGACATCACCCGCTCCAAGGCTTCTCGGCTCACTTTAAACGGGAAGACGCGTACGGCGAGCATCCAACTTCCTCGTCATCGTTCGTTTTATCCACGTCGCGTACGTCCTCACTCCTTCGATCCTGATCCTGCGCGCTCCCAATTTTATTCGATGACAATGACGTCCGAGTCGCTGAAAACGCCTTCGAAGAGCTGCAATCCCGGGTGATCTGGACTCTTGTCATCACGGACCCGTTGCGGCGTCGGAGCCGGCGCCTCGCTCGGCGGATTCTGTCGCGGTTCGCCCCGTGCTTGTAGCGCGGCGAGAAACGCAGCAGCTTCTTCATCCGACCGTCGCCGCGTGCCGTGCCGTGCGCGCCTACATAGCTCCTGACGCACGAGGTTGCTCCATCTGTTACGCCCCCAGCCCCATAGCGACGGTGCGTCCACGCGCGCGCCGTTCTGTCGCGCATTCAGATCTCTCAGCGCCATGATCCCACGCGCCTTAATCTCCTCATCCGTCACATCCGCCATCGCGCGGTCGGGCGCGTAGTCCAGCAACGCATCGACGACGACGTGTATGAGCTCCTTTACCACGCGCCGCCATCGCTCGGTGGTTTCCGCGGGCCTACGTGGCATGGTGCCGAACACGCGCGCGCGGACGTGGCGATCTCGACCTCGGACGCGATCCGGTGACGCTCGACGACGCGCGGTGCCCACATTGTCTCGGACGCGACGACGGGTGGGAATCGATTCGTCGCGAGTTTAGGGTTTAGGTATCGTGACTTACCCCTTTTACCCCTTTTCACACTCGCGCGATGGGACCATGAAGATGATGGGGAAAGAGACGGCGTTCCGGTTGGACAGTTTTGGTACGACTTAAACCGCTCAAAGAGCGAACAGCGCCTCCATCGTTTACAAGACCACGACGACGCGTCCAAGAATGCGCTCGAGTACCTCGAGACATGTGAACCAAGAAAAGCCAAGACACAAGGCCGAAACGCTAAATAAGGTTGACGAAGAGATGAATGAGCTGATAATAACGGTCTCCAGGCGAACAGAAAAATAGTCCGTCCCGCGAATGAATAGGAAACTAACGTATTGTAATTCATCTGTCGATACATCCAAGCGAGTTTCACGCGCGCTACACATTCAGAGCACGGCACGTCGTCAGTAATGCAGCCACGTGCCGAGCAAGCCATCGAGAACCGTCTTCGCGTCGCTTTTTTTGAACCCTGCCTCGCGACCGCGGCGGCCTGCTTGGATACAAGAAGGACACCCTTGCGCGCATTGACACGTTTCTATAGCTTTCAGTGCTCTCCGCCACAACTCTTCGATGTTGTCGAAGATAGTTTCTGCGAGTCCGATGCCTCCAGGTGTTGTGTCGTACAGGAACACGCGCGCACTGGCGTTTCCTGACAGTGCATTTGGCAGGTACGTAGACGCCGCGACATCATTTGAGTCGCACATGGCGATGCTTGACACGAGGCCGCCACACATATTCGCTACGCCGATGGTCGCTTCTCTTAGAGATTCCACGGCGACTCGACGAACGCATTCCTCGGGTAAATCAAACCAGACGGCGCGCGTTCTGTACTCCGCCGCCACTACGGGCGTTCTCCAGAGCTCTTCGCGAATCGTCTTGGCCGTTCTGTGATCGTTTACCACAAAACCGAGCACTGTTTCGGACACGTGCACGTCGCCAAGGCATACTCGTACGTCGGTGACGCGCTTCTTCAGAATATCTGGAACGCCCTGATCTGGGTCTGGTTCCATCGCCGTCACGTCTGTACGCTCTCTAGTTGCCGTCGTCTCAAGTTTTTCATACGACGATGCGTGCGCAACACGTTTTTCGTGCTCCAAGCGGTGAATCAAAAACTGCCCACGTCTCGCTATGAATACGCATCCGGCGTACAGACGCGCCATCGCGCGATATCCCGCAACTTCCTCAATCAGCTTTCCCGCTGTATCGATCAATTTCCACGGTTCGCCGCCCTGTACACCACGTAGCATGACGGATCTGTGCGGATACGTGGTCGGGAGACATTCAATGGTCTTCGTGGCCTTGTTGAAGAGGCACGTGCGCGTCGAACTCGCCGTCCCAAGCGCTCGTTTGATGGCGATATGCAGCGGCGCCTTAAAATTTGCCGAAAGGCGCGCTCCATCCGACCGCATCGGAGAGTCATCTTGACTCGCGGTGAAAAGCACGGCGTCGTTGCCACGTAAATCAAGCGCAACCTCCTTCGCGGCGCATGGAAGATGAAGTTCGAGAATCGCCGAGTTGTACGGATCTACGAGAGCTTCTTCCGATTGCCTCGCGAATAATTCGTTCGGACGAGTACAGTAGTAATGGTCCAGCGGCTTTTCGTTTGCAATGACCACCGCGACGGATGCACCTTGACGACGACCCGCGCGACCCGCTTGCTGCCACATAGCCGACGCCGTTTCTGGAACCCCGACGTGCACGGTGGCGTCGAGGGAACCGACGTCGATTCCCATTTCCAAGGCGCTCGTGCATACCAACGCGTTGATGGCACCTCGTTGCAATCGACTCTCCAACTCACGACGCTCGGCTTGCTGATAACCGGCTCGATAGCAATCTACTCTCTTCGCCAGTTCCATACCCATACCTCCAGACAATTTGCCAAGTACTCTCTTCGCGTCGCGCGCTAAGGTCTCCGCAGACGTTCGCGAACTCACAAACACCAAACAACGAATGTTACGCTGAACAAGATTCGCGACGATGTCGGCCGCCTCCGCGTACGGACTTCGGCGCTCCGGACCACCGACAGCGTCCACTTTGGGCGGCTGCCAAAGCAAAAACGCTTTCTCGCCGCTTGGCGCACCAGAATTGTCTACGCACACGGGCGTGCGCGTTGTGAGACGTCTGACGTGCGCCACAGGGTTGGAGATGGTCGCAGATGTACAAATGAATTCCGGGCGTACTGCGGTGTTCCATGAAGCGCACACGCGGAGCAATCGTCGCAGAACGTTCGCGACGTGACTTCCGCTCACGCCCGTATGCGTGTGCGCCTCGTCGAGGACGATGTATTTCAAACATCCCCAAAACTTTTTACCCCACGACCTGTGAGCCGGTAGCATCGCGTGGTGGAGAGAGTCTGGATTCGTCAAAATGATTTGCGTTCCGTGTTTTTTTATCTCCGCCTTGACCTCGACGTCCGTGTCGCCATCGCACACCGCGAGCTTCACGCTCGCCAGACGCTGTAATCGGTTGACGTCGATCCCAGCATAATGCTCCGCAGATATCTTCATCTCGTCGATTTCAGTCTTAAGCTTTTGTGCCTGTTCGACGATGTGCCGCATCTTCTTCATCTGGTCGTTCGCGAGCGCTTTTAAAGGAAACATCAACAGCGCCTTTGACTGCTTCGACTTTTCGTCCATCAGTGCCTCAAAGATTGGAATTACGTAGCACATTGACTTTCCGCTCGCCGTCGGTGTCGATACGACGACCGAACGTCCCGCGCGTGCAGCTTTGATCGCCGCGCTCTGGTGCGAATAGAGCTTTGTCACTCCGCATCGAGCCAACACGGCGCCCAGGGTGGGGTCCATGGCGAATCCTGATGGCGTCTTGCAGTCCTCTCCGCGCCGCTGCGTCCACGTCGTCGCAACGCACTGCGGTCTCGTTTGTAAATACTCAATGAAATCTTGCACGTTTGACCTCTCCGTTCCTCGCGCGCTCGACCCTCCACTCGAAAGAATCTTCGACGTCGGTGTCGGTACCGTCGTAATCGTCGTTCGCATCGCCGTCGTCGTCGCCGTCGTCTGTGTCGCTCGACGAGCGTGTAAATCACCGCAGTCACCGTTGTCCTCGCGTTTCCTCTTCACCTCTTCCTCGCGAGCGTTTTCGAGCTCTCGAACCTTTGCCAAGGCGATATCGAAGAACGCCTCGTCTTCTATATCGTCGTCGTCATCTAAAATGGTCACTACCTTCGGCGAAGTCGCGTAGGCTGACATGGTGTGACGAAGCTATAGTCAGGCTTTGTGTGACCGGCGGTCGTCATTTCCGCCCCCTCGATCGAGCGTCGACGCGGCGTGGTGAAACGATATGGCCAACGTCGAGGTGTTCGTGTGCGGCGGCACCGGCCTGGTCGGAAGCGCGCTCGTGCGACAGCTAAAACGCGCGAGCGAATCGACCGAAGAAGGCGTGGCGCTGCGCGGCTTCTGTTCCTCAAAAGAAATCGTGTCGTGCGCCAAGGGAAACGCGCGAGCGAGCATCGGCGGCGACGCGATCTCGGACGAGGAAATCATTTTGTGCTGCTCCTCTCCGGACGCCATCGTGTGCGTTGTGGACTGCACGTCGAGCGAGACCGTGACCGCTCGCTACGCTGATTGGCTCGAACGCGGTTGGAACGTTGTCACGTGCAACAAGAAGGCGAACAGCGGCGATTATGAGTATTACGCGCGATGCGTCGCCGCGACGAAGATGACCGGTGGTGGTAAATGGTTCGTCGAGGCAACCATCGGAGCTGGGTTACCCACGGTGTCAACGCTCCGCACGCTCATTGCGACGGGTGACTGCGTGGAATCGGTGCAAGGGATCTTTAGCGGTACCATGAGCTTCCTATTCAACACTTGGGATGGTGTTAGCCCGTTTTCGGACATCGTCGCGCAGGCGAAAGCGGCTGGTTACACGGAACCTGATCCTCGTGAGGATCTGAACGGACTAGATGTTGCTAGAAAGGTTGTCATTGCCGCTCGGGAGTGCGGCTTGCAAATTTCACTTTCTGACGTCGAAGTCGAGTCTATGGTTCCGTCGCACTTGGAAACATGCTCCTCGGATGATTTCATGAAGCGTTTTTCAGAGAATGACGAACTGATGGCGACGCGCGCGAAGGAAGCGGAGAGCGAAGGATGCGTCCTGCGATTTGTTGGCAAGGTTGACGTCACAGACGCCAAGGCGTCTGTGTCATTGGCCAAGTTCTCAAAGTCGCATCCGTTCGCATCGCTATCAGGTGCTGATAATATTTTCGAAATCAAGACGGCGCGATACGGGCCGACGGGAATGAGCACGCCGCTCATCATCCGAGGCCCCGGCGCAGGCGCGGAGGTCACCGCCGCTGGCGTGTTTGGAGATATTGTCGCGCTCAAGAATTCGTCGCTCGCGTAGGATTCATCCTAGTTCTTCTTCGCCTGCCGACGTGCCGATCCCTTAAATCGCGGTCTTCCTCGAGCGTCTGTGCGCTCGGGCTTATCTCCGGCCTTTGTCTTTCGCGCCGTGGCGTACGTCACTTTCATCGCCCGTCCACCGATGAGCTCTTCGCCGTTCTTGCGCAAAGCGCGCTCTAGATCTTCATCTGTAGCGAACTCCACGTGCGCATAACCCCTAAAATCGCCCGTCGCCTTATCGTTACCCATACGAACGTCCTTGATTTCGCCTGAAAATGTTTCTCTAAGCATCTCCTCCGTGACGCTGTAGTCTAAATTCGCGACAAACGCGACAAACTGGCCTTCGATTTTCCTCACATCGCTCTTAAGCTTCGCCGACGCCGGTGCTTTGGGGGCGTAAGGCTTCACCACGAGCGACATCCCATCCCACTCGGTATCGTGCCATCGCAGAGCCTCACGAGCGATGTTCGCCGAGCCAAATGTGACAATGGCGATGCCTCGGAACCGACCTGAATCGGGAAATGTCATACAATCCACGTTTTCGACCGTGAGTTGGTCATCCATAAAGGCCTCTTCAATTTCCTCAGCAGTCTTATTGAACGGGATGCCGCCGACGAACACTTGCCTGGACCGCAGCTCGGAGTCCACTTCGTCTTCCGTGCTCTCCCTCTTTGAAGATGAGGACGAAGACGAAGACGAAGACGAGGATGAGGACGAAGACGAAGACGAAGCTGCGCCGCCCCGACTGTCTGCATCATCGCCCGCAACGGGGGCCGACGCCTCAAGAGCGGCTCGCTTCTCCGGAACCTCCTCCGAGGGTTCGCCCAACTCTGCCGTTCGCTCCGCCTTTCGCTTCTTCCTAGCCTCGATCGCCTCTGCGAGCTTTTCACGTTTCGTCATCTTGCGCTTACGCTCCGGCGCTGGCGCGTCCACATCTTTTTGTTTCTCGCAACACGCTGTGCAAGCCGACCTCGCCTTTCTGAGCTGCCTCGGCGGAAACGCGTCCAAAGCCTTGACGACGTCGCACAGCTTACATCTTCGCGTGCTCTCACCCTCGACGACGCGTTCGATCGCAGAGTCGCCGTCGCGCGCGCGCCTGGCCTCTTGCTTTCGCTTCTCTCGCTTCACCACCGACTCCTTCGCCGCCGCGCTCGGTAACGGCGCCTCCTTCGTACGACGTTCGGCGACGTGTCGCTCGTCCTCGTCCTCGTCGCTCGAGTCGGGTTTGGGGTGCACGGTCGAGGAGGGTGGTTCCTTCCCCATCCTCGCTCGCGACGGATCGTCGATCGAGGTCGAGCGACGGCGCGAAGTGTCGTACATCGGCCGCCGCCGTTCGCGTTGCGCATGCTTTTTGTACTTGCCGGACGCCGCGGTTTGTTTTACACAATACTAGAAGACGAAGTCGATCGACGCGCGACGCGCATCCCTCATCGTTACGTCTCGGATACATTGAACGCGTTGCGCGCAGCGTCAACGTCGCAGTAGAACGTCCCACTAAACACTTCGGGACTCTTCATGACCTCCGTGAAGAGACGCTGCAGACTGTTATCCATGTTTTTCAAACTCGCCCCGCTTCGCAGCTCTTCATCATCGAAATGAATCGCAAACGTCATCTTGAATAAATCGGAATGAACTTTCACCCCGGTGTATGAATCGATATTCGCTCCGCTCTTCGTGATGCTCGTGCTCACCATGGCGAGTAAACCGGTTCTGTCGGACGCTGTGAGCTCCAGAGTACAGCAGCAGTACGTCACGGTGCGCGGCCCGGGACCGACCTTATCCGGAATCGGCTCCCCGCACAAAGTGAGCGCTTCAATTTGCAACGACTCACGCAACTCTTTGATTGCACCACTTCCGAGTTGTGCCAAACGTTTTTGAATTTTTGCGCGAGCAGAGCGCGTCTCGGCGTTGAGCCTGAGTTTGCGGAGTTTGCGCATCAACATATGAGCGGGGATTTCATCATTGTCGGTGAAAATTTCCACCACCTCCGCGTTGCTCAGAACATGATCGAGATCAACTCGCACGCCGTTGACCTTGGCGTACGACATGTGTGCGCCGTTAGTGTCATCAGAGTAAAACGCGTAATCGACGACTGTGGCGCCGTGAGGCAAGTTCAGCGCACGCCCTTTCGGAGTGAAAACGAACACACGACGACCGAGCAGATCGCTGGTGATCGTGTCAACGAATTCTCTCGCGCTTAGCACGTCGATAAACTCCGTCTGCCAAGCTTGGATGTTCTTCAGCCACGTGACTTGAGACTTTGCGAGCGCGGTGCTCGCGGCGCCGCCTGGTCGCTTGGCGTCCGCCGCCGCAACCTCTTCATCGCGAGCCTCCTCCTGATCCAACCTGGCCTCGTCGATGTCTTTTCTACCCTTCTGCGCCAAAGATATGCGTTTCTCTTGTCGCCGCTGCGCCCTCAGCGCGAGACTGGTTCTACGCGCGCCTATTCGCCACTGCTGACGAAGCTCGTCATCGCACGCGATGCCCTTGGTCGCCAACATCTCCATCGGCTCAGTTCTAATGATCACCTCCAACGGGAACACCGCCGCGTCCACTTCGCTAGCGCCCGGTGAGATCGGTAAGACAACCGTGTGAAGAGCCTTGTAGCCATTCAATTTGGGAGTCGCTAGGTAATCCCTCAACTCACCGGGAATGGGCGGCCACATCGCGTGGACGACGCCGAGAACGTGGTAACAGATGCGACTCGCCTGAACTCTACGAGCCTCGTCGCTCAAACCAATGACCGCCTGCGCGTCGTGCAGGACTATTTTCAGCTGAGCCACTTCAGTGATAGCTGCTTCACCGTTCGCCCCGAATGCTCCCGCCTTGGCTGAGCTATTTCGCACGCTGCGATGGACGCCGTACGGCTCCTTCTGCTTCGCGCCGAGACTCACCGCCACCGCGTGTCCGCGCAAAAAGTCGTCCTGAAGCATTTCACTCTTGATCCTTTCGAAAGCAAGTTTGATCGTCGGTTCCTGAACCTTACTAACCTCCTCTAACCGCCTCACAGTGGTGGAGTACGCCTCAGGATCCGCGTAGCGAAACGCCAAATCCTCAAGTTCATTTTTTATATCGTACATTCCGAGTAGCTTGGCGAGTGGAGCGAACACAAGAAGCGTTTCTTTCGCTATCTTTACTCGCTTTTCCTGCTTTAATCCCTCCAGCGTGCGCATGTTGTGCAAACGATCAGCAAGTTTGACGATGATGATGCGCACTTCCTCAGTCATGGCGAGAAACATCTGCGCCAAGTCCTCCGACTTGACATCCTCAGAGCTCAACGCCGCGGACGGGCCACCACGGGCGGGTGCGTTACGCGCGGCGCCGTCTTTACTCAACGAAGAGCTCACTTTGCTAACTTTTGTCTCACCCTCGACGATTTTTCGCACCGCGACGCCGTATCGCTTCTCCAACGATTCAAACGTCACCACATCGGTGTCCTCGACCGTGTCGTGCAGTAACCCGGCGATGAGACTCTCGTGGTCGAGCTCCAAGTCCGCTAAAATCGCCGCAACCGCGACTGGGTGCGTGATGTACGGTTCTCCGCTCTTCCTCGCCTGCCCGTCGTGCGCCGTGAACGCCAATTCGAGCGCGTCTCGAACCTCCTCTCGCTCGAAGGCGTCCAAGTACTTTGTCCGTCTCGCCAACTCGGTGTTCCACAGGTACTCCGGGGTGATATGCTCCCAGCCCGTGATGAGCTCGGCGTCATCGCTCGAGTTGGGCGCCACCGCGCCGCGCGCGCGTCTCGCCGCTCGCCCCCGTCGTTTTCTTCTACAGCTCGACGTCGGCGCGCTCGCGCTCGATCGAGCGCTCGGACTCGCCACCGAACGCATTCTGACTCGTCCTCACACACGCCCCCCCCGCGCGCGTCCTCGATCGAGTCGAGACGATCGAGACCGCTTCACCAAGAATCCGTCCGCGTCGACGTCTCGCTCGATCGGTCGGCGATCCTCCCCTCGATCGGCGCGCCGTGGTCTCCACCGTCGCGATCGACCGTCCGTCCGAGACGCGCGCGCGATCGGTCGCCGATCGCCCGCGCGCGCGTCGACGCGTCGATCGACGACGGTCGCTCGACGTTTCGACGCGCTCGCGGTCGACCGACGCGAACGATCGGCGCCACCCGCGTGTGTGCGTTTCTTGACCACGCCGTCGCGCGTCCTCGGCGCCGCCCGCGTGTGTGTGTTTCCGAACCACGCCGAGCGTTTTTTCCATCGCTCGCGTGCGTTTCCGTCGCGCGTCCGCGCCGTCGTCGACCGACGGCGGCGACGCGTCATCGACATGGGTCCAGCGTGGACGCCCTCGGACGGGGCGTCGCGGACGTGTTTACGCGTGCTCGGTCTGCGCGAGGACGACGCCGACGGGGACGACGCGGTTGGTACGGGAGGGCGGACGATCGATAGAGAGACGGTGCGACGCGCCTTTCGACGATTAGTCATCAAGGCGCATCCCGATCGAAACGATGGACGATCGGAGGCGTACGACGCGCTGTGTCGAGCGCGAGACGAGGCGTACGAATTGATCGATCGGCGAGATCTCATCGCGTGCGCGACGAGGTACGATTGGCGCGCGACGAGGCGAGGCGAAGGAGAACGCGACGCGAGCGACGCGCGCGAGAGCGAGCGAGAGCGAGAGAACGTCGACGCGAAGCCTCGACGAGCGACGTCGACGTCGACGAGCGATGAAGACGGTCTTATAACGCGTACGACACTCTGGCACGAGTCTCGTGTGACCGCTTTGGCGATGTACGGCGACGTCGTCGCCACCGGGCAGATGCGAGGACGCGTGTGCGTCTGGAAACTCAAAGACGGGACGCGCATAGCGTCCTGCGACGTCGAAACGGCGTCTTCCGGGAGCGAGACGCACGATGCGGTCTCACTTTTGAGGTTTAACCACCGTGGACGACTCGCTGCGACGTACGTTCGGTCCAAACCGACGTGTTGGACGGTGACTGCGCGGACGATGTCGACACCGATTCGAGACGGTGCCGACGCGCACGAACGCAGAGTCACCGCTGCGGAATGGTTCCACGGAGACGTTAGCGGCGGTGAGATACAAGACGTTTTTGTCACCGCCGCGCTCGATGGATCCGTTATCGTTCGCTCGTTCAACACAGACACGCCGAGCGCGAGAGTGCGCGTGGACGGATGTCGAGCCGTGAAGGCGCTGGACGCGCTCGCGACGAGCTCAAACGAAGGAACTTTCGTCGTCGCAGACTTGGCGGGGACGTTCCAGCTTTTACGCGTGACAATACACACACGGGTCGACGATCAAGCCGCGACGATCGTCGTTCAGCCGCTCACGAATGTCGTCAACTGGCCAGGATTTGGCGGCGTCACCACCGCTCGGCTCTCCGAATCGCGTTCTGTACGCGAAGGCTCGTCGTTTCGTTTGCTCACCGTGTTCGACGACACGAGCACGCGCGAATCGCGAGTGTTAGAGTGGTCGATCCCAAACGAAATCGGTCGAGTTACCGAGGTACGGGGGTTCGTCGGCGCCGTGCCGAGCGCGAACTCAACCTTTCGCGGCGCGGTTGCCGATTTCCTACAAACGCGCGCCCTCGCGGACGAGGACGACGACGACGCGATCGAGGCGGAGATCTATCTTATCGCCGTGGATGACATGATTTTCAGCGTCGACGCATCGACCCGTCGCGTGCTCTACGCCGTGGACGTCGATGGATGTCGCGCCTTGGCTCCGTCGAGCGGCGACTTCGCCGCGTGTCGCGTCTCCGCCTCGCGCGACCGCGTCGGGTTCGACGTTCGAGATCTGGACGACGGCGCGTCGACTCGATCGTGCGAGTACGCCGTGTCTGATTTCTTCGCCCCCGACGTCGATCTAGACCATCGCTCGTCCGCCCCACCCGTGTACGTCCTCGCTGAACCCGCGCCGAGCGCCGCGTCCGGCCCCCACCTCGCGCGTTTTCTCCTCGCCCGTCATCGCGAGGTCGTCCTCGTCGCCCTCGCGCCGTGACGGTGACATCGATGGGCGTCCGCGATGTTCAATACGAATCGCCAGTCCCCGATGCGAGTGCGTCGAAAACGGATCCTCGACGGTGACATCGATGGGCGTCCGTGACTTTTAATACGTATCCGTCGCCCCACCACCCGCGTGCGGTCGCGACTCGATCGATCTCCACGAATCGGATGAAGATCTCCTCGGTTTTATCCACGCCCGCGCCCGCGTCGAGCGAGGGCGTCGACCTCGCGCGCGTGCGTCGTGCGCACAGCGCGTCGCCGAGCGCGATCGCGTGCGCGACGTCCTCGGTGACGCTTTGATCGACATGCTCGCGAACACCGCGCGAGGCGCGAGCGTACGGCGCGATGGCGTCGCGAACGATCGCGCACACGCGCGCTCGGGGTCGACGGTCACAAAGCGCGCGCGAAGGCCGGTGCGCGTCGCTCGGGCGGTGACGGACGACCAAGAGTCCGAGCTCGAACAAAGAATGAAAGAGGTGATGCAGATGGAGTCTGATTCGAAGATCGAAAAGGAGGAGAGCACGATGCGACAGACGTTCCCGCTCGCCGCGGTGATCGGGCAAGAGAAGATTAAGAGCGCCCTACTCTTGGGAGGGATCGACCCCACGCTCGGCGGGATCGCGATCTCCGGTCGAAGAGGCACGGCGAAGTCCATCATGGCTCGCGGCTTGCACGCGCTCCTTCCGCCGATCGAGTGCGTGAAGTCGTCGTACTGCAACGCGGACCCGACCAAGCCGGACGAGTGGGAAGACGGGCTCACAGAGGAAAAGCTCAACAGAGATGAGAACGGGAACATCGAAACCATCATCCGCGATGCGCCGTTCGTGCAACTTCCGCTCGGCGTCACGGAAGATCGTCTCATCGGTACGGTTGACATCGAGGAGTCCATGAAGCAAGGTAAGACTGTTTTCCAGCCGGGTCTCCTCGCGCAAGCGCATCGAGGGATCTTGTACGTCGACGAAATCAACCTTTTGGACGATGGTGTCGCCAACTTGCTCCTCACCGTGCTCGCTGAGGGTGAAAACGTGGTCGAGCGTGAAGGTATTACGCTCAGACACCCGTGTAAACCGCTCTTAATCGCGACTTTCAACCCGGAGGAGGGCGCTCTTCGCGAGCACCTTCTCGACCGCATCGCTGTGACGCTTTCGGCGGATCAGATGTTGACGTTCGAGGACCGCGTTGAGGCGGTGAACCAAGCGATGAACTTTCAAAATGCCGCCGAAAATTCGGTGAAGAGCGTTGAGGAAGCGACGGAGGGCATTAAGACCAACATCGTCCTCGCGCGCGAGTGGTTGAAGGATTGCACCATCTCCCAGGAGCAAGTCGAGTACCTCGTGCGCGAAGCCTGCCGAGGCCGCATCCAGGGCCACCGCGCCGAGCTTTTCGCTGTCAAGGCTGCAAAGGCGCTCGCCGCGTTGGATGGTCGATCCAAGGTGAACGCCGACGACTTGAAGGAGGCTGTCAGACTGGTCATCGTCCCGAGATCGGACATTTTGCAAGACGCACCTCCGCCGGACGAGGACGACGATCAACCGCCGCCACCGCCACCGCCGCCACAAGACAACGCGGACGATGAAGATCAAGACGAAGATCAAGAAGACGAGAACGAGGAAGAGGAGGAAGAAGAAGATGACGTTCCTGACATTCCAGAGGAGTTCATCTTTGACGCAGAGGGCGTCATTTTGGATAAGGATGTTACCCAGTTCGCGCAGCAAACATCCAGACAAGGGGGGCGCTCTGGTCGATCGAAGAGCGTGATCTTCTCCACCGATCGTGGTCGCTACATCAAGCCCATCTTGCCGAAGGGGAAGACAATTCGCCTGGCGGTTGACGCGACGCTTCGCGCCGCGGCGCCGTACCAGCGGGCGCGTCGGGAAAGAGATCCAAATGCGGAGAAGAAAAAAGTGTACGTTGAGAAGGGTGACATGCGCGCGAAGAAGCTTGCGCGCAAGTCTGGTGCGTTGGTAATTTTCCTCGTCGACGCATCGGGCTCGATGGCGTTGAACAGAATGCAAGGCGCGAAGGGCGCGGCGCTTTCCATCCTGGAGAGCTCGTACCAAAGCCGTGACCAAGTCTCTATCGTGCCGTTCCGTGGTGACGAGGCCGAAGTGCTTTTGCCGCCGTCGCGATCGATCGCTATGGCGAGAAATCGCCTCGACTCCATGGCGTGCGGTGGTGGCTCTCCATTGGCGCACGGCTTGTCCGTTGCCGCTCGCGTCGGCCTCAACGCCATGTCCACGGGCGACGTTGGACGAGTGATGATTGTCTGCCTTACCGATGGCCGCGCGAACATCTCCATTAATAAGTCGCAGAGAGACCCGGAGTATCTCGGTCCGGACGCAAGGAAGCCGACGAACGAGGAGCTCGAGGAGGAAGTGAACGACATGGCGGCGCGCGTCGCCGCAGCTGGCATGTCGTTGCTCGTCATCGACACCGAGAACAAGTTCGTTTCTTCCGGTACCGCCGAAAAATTGGCTCAAGCGGGGCGAGGTAAGTATTACTACCTGCCGAACGGCACGGAGAGGGAAATCGCCGCGGCTACCGCGGCTGCCATGCAGGATGCCAAGACGGCGTAATTTTAGATTTGTCTCGCTGGCTCGCCTATTAGGATCAACTTGTCAATTGAATTTCACTACCGGTACGGTGCGCACACTCGTCTCTAAAAATCGTCAGCTACGACACTACTTGCCCTGCTCGTACGCTTCGACGCGCTTGTCGACCTCCCGCTCAAGGATGCGCGTCAAGAAGCCCTGTCCGAGCATGTCCTGAACAGCCACGCCCCACTCCTTGCTCACCTTGAAGACATCCATCACCGCCGGTGGCGAGATGGGTAGGAATAACTCGGCGAGCGCGCGAACGGCGAGCGCCACGCGCGAGATGTTTTCGCGCTGGGGTAGCGGCACCTTGTCGCCGTACGCCTCGTTCAAGTCGTCGATGGCGTCGTTCGGCTCACGGCGGAGTTCCGTCTCTCGCGGTGCCGTCGCCGCGCTCGGCGCGCCGACCCAAATGTAACCGTTGCACCCGAGTAAAATTTCCACGTCGTGCGTTCCCGTCGCGACGCTGTCGTGAAACTCATCCATCTCTAACCTGTGAAAGTGCTGCGGGAGGCGACGCACGAGGTTCGCTGTTACGCGCACGAGCTGTCCTCGCTTCAAGCGCCCGTACTTGAGACTACGAGTGTGCAACGCGGCGGCCCCGTCGGAGTACACGCTCTGTACCTCGGAGCTCACGATGTCGCCCTCGGCGTAGAGCGTTCGCATGTTGAGCTCGTCGACGTCGTTCCTTCGCCTCTGCACGTTCCCCGGGAGGTGCACCGCGCTCAGCTGAAGCACCCCGTTCTGTCTGGCGTTGATGTCTAAGATCCATCGCTTACCGCTCACATTCGTCACCTTCCCCAGCACCACGTCCCCGGTCTCCGGGACGTATCGAGATTTCAACGCGCGCACGCTCACCAACTTGTTCACGCGCTCGACGACGCCCGCCGTCGTCGCCACGAGCGTCTCTTCCGTCTCATCCGTCGTCGACGCCGTCGCGATCGCCCTCGTGCCGTGTCCTCGCAAGAAATCACCGTGTTCAACGCCCGGGATGCGCTCGCCCGGGGCCACGAACGCGGCGTTCGGTCTCGTCGTCCTCGCGGGCGCGCGTTCGAGCGACGTCTTCGCGCGCTCGAACCGCGCGCGCGTCTCCTCGCTCGTCGCCTCCACGCCCGCGCCCATCGACGCGCGATCGCTTCGCGCGCTCGAACCGCGCGCGCGTGTGCGGGTCGACGCGCGCGAAGCGATCGCGCGTCGCGTGCGTCGAGGCGTAAACCCGCGTCGACGGCGGTCTCGCGTCACTCGGCGCCCGTCCTCGGCGTCGGCCTCGATCGCGCGCGGGCGTGAGCGAAACGACGATGGCGAAGAAGCCGGAGAAACGGTCTTCTTCGTCGAGGGCGTCGACGGCGCGATCGTCGACGAAGAAGACGAACGCGAGAGACGACGGGCTCGAGGCGGCGGCGGCGGCTACGAGCGCTCGAGTGGACGTGGACCAAGTGCGAAAGGCGGTGAGCGCGCTGGCGACGCACCTGGAAAAGGTGGCGAATGAGAAACCTTCGTCGGCGCTGTTCGATGACGAGGCCGAGACCTATCACGCGCTGATCTCTTTGAGACGTACGCCGAAGGAGACGACGAGCGCGCGGCTCATCGCGGTGCCGATTCCGCACCCGCTGCTCGATCTCTCCACGGCGGAGCTGTGTTTGATCGTGAAGGATCACCAGGGAGAGGGACATAAGGAGGCGAAGCAACGGGTGGCGGAGATGGCGCAGTGCGGCGTGGCGAAGGTTTTAGGGATTTCCAAATTGAAGGCCAACTACAAGGCGCACGAGCAAAAGCGCAAGCTGTGCGACTCGTACGACATGTTCTTAGCCGACGATCGAGTGATCCCGATCCTTCCCAAGCTCTTGGGGAAGAACTTTTTCAAGAAGAAGAAGCAGCCGGTGGCGGTAGACCTCACGAAGAAGGATTGGGTGGCTCAGGTCAAGCGCGCCGTGAGCGCCACGTACATGCACATCGCCGGCGGCACGTGCGTGAACGTCAAGGTGGGTAAGAGCACGATGGGCGAGGATGAAATCGTGGAGAATATCATGGCAGCGATCGCGGGGGCAGTGCATAAGATTCCGCGCAGGTGGGGGAACGTGCAGAGCATCTACATCAAAACGCCAGACTCGGTCGCGTTACCGATCTTCGCGGCGCCTCCGGATGAATAAACGCTTTAGAGCTGTGTAATTCCTATTAAATCCGTGGATGAACAGACCACGCGCGCTTCGCTCCACCTCCTCGTACCGTACATGTTTCACAATCGCTCCATCGCGATCATCCTTGCGCGTATCTCTGCGTAGGCGAAATCGCACGTAAGTCCCTACGCGTCCAGATCGGGCGTCGTCGTGTACGCACCTTTGTCCACTCTTGCGCGGTCTTATCGTGATTCTCCTTGTCGTTCAGGAATTGTTGCGCGATACTCCCAACGAGAGGATCGTGTGGGTTCGCATCAGTGAGCAACGAGCAGATGGAGAGCAAGACCTTGGAGATCGTTAGCGCCGGCGACCACTGCTCCTTCAAGATGTCCAGACAAATTTGACCCGAGCTGTTGACGTTGCAGTGGTAGATTCTCGTGCGGAACGTCACCTTGGGCGCCTTGAACGGGTAATCCGGCGGGAATTGAATGTCGAGAAAAAATACGCCCCCGCTGTACGGTGATTCTGTGGCGTTCGATCGAGATCAAGATCGTCTCGCGTCAGTCGTCTCATTTGTTTGAACGCGTCGAGGCGCGTCTCGCGACGCGACGGTTTCTCTCTGGATCATCTCTCTCTCACGCACCGCTCGGACCGACGATGGTCGACACCCACTCATACAAGTTATCTCCCTTCGGTCCCGCGCTGCAGTTCGTGGGCGGTTCGAGAGAAATCTCCGCTAACTCCTTTTGGATTCGTCTCGCGCTGTTGGAGAGCGATTTCGCCTTGTCCTTGTCGCTCATCCTTCGCGCGATGACGTATCGAGCGCGTCGACGTCTCTTCGGTGGTCTTCGAGCGAACGCGGCGATGGACGCGAACGCTCTCGCGCGACGGACCGCCTTCGCGCGCGTCGTTCGCTGTCGCGCGCGTCGACCGCGGCGACGGGCGCGAGGGCGGTCGCGTTTAAAAATCCACGTGTCCGCGTCACAGCGATCGAGACCACGTCGCTCGACCCACACCGCGGTCGCGGCGCCGGTGCATCGATGCTCTGATGCTCCATGTAGCCGCGCACGACGGATATCGACTCGTCGATTCGCCTCAATCGGTCGTGTTTCACCGAACGCGGTGGCGCCCGGTCGACGTCGACGGGACGACCACCCGCGACACCGCGACGGGTCGATCGAACGCCCCGAGGTCGTCGCGCGGAGACCACGGGTGCGACGTCGGTGGGCATGGCGTCGACCGCGCGCGCGCTCGCGGGCGTCGCGTCGACGCGGCGTCGCGACGGTGGTCGAACGCCGACGTCATCGTGGACCGCACGAACGCAGAGACGAGGGACGACGCCGCACGCGGTGAGCGAACCGCCGCCGGAGACGAAGAACAGACAGAGTGAGGGCGCGACGACGTCGAACGCGTCGTCGAGCGTGTCCGAGATGGCGCAACAGATGAAAGAGGCGCGAAAACGCATGGAGGAGGACGAGGACCTGAGCGTTCTCATGGCTGGTCTGCGCGGAAGCAACATCGATGACAGTGATTTCGCCGCGGATGGAGTTCAAATGAAGGTGGTGGATGTGGATAAATTGAGAAACGACGAGCTCGGGGACGAGCTGCCGCTGCACTACGACCCAGAGCTCATTGCGAGCTACTGGTCCAAGCGACCAGCCGCAGTGGCGCAGCGCGTGGCGCAGCTCAGTACCATCGCAGGATCATTCATCGCCGGCATCGTGAGCGATTTTGTGACGAAGAGCGTGGAGAAAAACGCGGTGAAGCGGGCGATTCAGATTCGTGAGATCGTCACCTCTCTCGGACCCGCGTACATCAAGCTTGGCCAGGCACTGAGTATTCGTCCAGACATTCTCACTCCTGCGGCGATGAACGAGCTACAAAAGCTGTGCGACAAGGTCCCGAGCTTCGATAACGGACTGGCATTCGCCACCCTTGAGACCGAGCTCGGTTGCAAGTGGCAAGAGGTGTACAGCGAGCTCGGGCCCGATCCCGTCGCCGCGGCGTCGCTCGGGCAGGTGTACAAGGGCAAGCTCAAGGACACGGGCGAAGTGGTCGCCGTGAAGGTTCAACGACCGGCCGTCCTGGAGACGGTTTCGATCGACTTGTTTGTGTTGAGAAAAGTGGGTGTGTTCCTGAGGCGCTTTCCCGCCATCACCACGGATGTCGTCGGCTTGCTCGATGAGTGGGCGGCGCGCTTCTTCGAGGAACTTGATTACAACTTGGAGGGAGAGAATCAGACCAACTTCGCCAAGAGCATTGCCAAGGATTTACCCCAGGTGGTAGTACCACGAACGTACGCGCAGTTCACCAGGCGAAAAGTAATCACATCGGAATGGCTGGAAGGGGAGAAGCTGTCGCAATCCACTGCGGACGACGTCGGTGACTTGGTGAACATTGGCGTCATTTGCTACTTAAAGCAACTCCTCGACACTGGTTTCTTTCACGCCGATCCTCACCCAGGTAACTTGATTCGCACACCAGACGGTCGATTGGCCATTTTGGATTTCGGACTCATGACAGACATCGACGATAACATCAAGTATGGGATGATCGAGGCCATCAGTCACTTGATTCACCGCGACTACGAAGCCATCGTGAAGGATTTTGTCACCTTGGATTTCATCCCCGAGGGCACAGATCTGAAGCCAATCTTACCCGTTCTCGGGCGTGTGTTTGATCAAGCGCTCGAAGGAGGTGGCGCGAAGAACATCAACTTCCAAGAGCTCGCCGCGGATCTGGCGCAAATCACGTTTGATTACCCGTTCCGCATTCCGCCCTACTTCGCGCTCATTATTCGAGCCATCGGGGTGCTCGAAGGTATCGCCCTCGTCGGTAACCCCGACTTTGCCCTCGTCGATGAAGCTTACCCGTACATTGCGAAGAGGCTTCTCACGGATGACTCTCCGCGCCTGCAGGAGGCACTTCGATACATGGTGTATGGAAAGAAGCAAGTCTTTGACGCCGACAGGATGATCGACCTTCTCGAGGCTCTTGAGACGTTCCGTTCCGCAAGTGCGATGTCCCAAGGAGATCCAACCAAGCAGGCTGCCAGTCCGCGCTTGGAGCTGACTGCCACTGCTCCGACCCAGACGGATGAGAAGCTCACGCGAGAGGCGCTGCAGTTCGTCCTCTCGCCTGAGGGTTCGTTCTTCCGCGAGTTCCTCCTCGATGAGGCCGTCAAGGGCATCGATGCTCTCAGTCGAGATAACGCGATTCGGCTTTTGACCGCTTTCGGGCTTCAGAACACCAATATTCCTGTCTTCTTGCCGGGATTCCCATCCTTCATCCCGCTCTCGCCGAAGATGACCAGCGAGGACAAGGCGACGTTGGCGAGCACCACCAAGCTACTCAACTTCCTCCTCCGTGGCACGCGAAGCGATCAAATCAATTTCCAGGATTTCGCAAACTTCTCAGGCGCCTCTGCTCGCTTGAATTCGCGAGCGCTCAACGAAATCTCTCCATTCTTGCCCGCTGTTGCAACGGAAATCATGCCCGAGCTCACGAGACGTCTCAGCTCGAGAGTCGCCGCTCGAGCCATTAGAGACGTTTTCGGTGGTGCCGTGGCGTAGAGATGATGTTTTTTTCCGCACTAGAATCGCTGTTGTTATGATTTACGTAGAATTGATTCGATCGCAGTCCCCTCGAGTGCCTCACGAGCCTGGAAACTGGAATCACATGATGGTGGGGTTTAGCCTGGCAGTGATGAGGCGCATCGCGCCATCTCCCCTTCCGCCTTTTTCCGGCGCGCGTCGAGAGCAGGAACCATGAAGGGTAACAACCAATTACCTAACGCGCACTTCAAGAAGGACTGGCAAGGCAACACCATCAACGGTCAATGCCGCGTCCGCACCTGGCTCAACCAAGGTGCGTTCGATCATCGCGTTAGGTCTTTCAGGATGCGGCCGTCACGAGCATCCCTTCAAGCGCGCTCGATCTCCTCCCGATGTTTGAGCCTGAAGGCGACGAAACTGACGTGAATGTTTTCTTCCGTTTTCCCTCGCAGCCGGTCGCAAGAAGTCTCGCCGCAACGCGCGTGAACTCAAGGCGAAGAAGACGTTCCCGCGCCCGGTCGCGGGTGCGCTTCGCCCGATCGTGCACCCGCCGACGCAGCGATACAACTTCAAGACCCGCCTCGGCCGCGGTTTCACGCTTGAAGAATTGAAGGTTCGTGTTATTGCCATCGTGCGCGCGCGAACGCTCAAGAGACGCCGACGACGAGCGCTCGAGCGCATCGCCCAACGCGAGGGTTGTGAGACTGACGCGAATCTTTCCTTTTCCACGCGCAGGCGGCTGGCATCCCGAAGAAGCTCGCCCCGACGATCGGTATTTGCGTTGATCACCGACGCCGTAACCGCAGCGAGGAGTCTTTAGCGGTACGTGCCGTTCGCACGCGGTGTGACCTACCCGACGATTGTCCCTCAGGGATTTAGGGTCTCCACCATAGACAGCCATGTTGACGCGGCGCGCGCGGGCGCGAGGACGTATCTGTCCTCGAAGCGCAAAAGTTGATGACCGCGAGACTGACCTTGTTTGATTTTCCTGTTCGCAGCTCAATAAGAAGCGCCTCGAGGAATACAAGGCCAAGTTGATCTTGTTCCCGCGCAAGAACTCCAAGCCGAAGAACGGCGACAGCCCGGCGGCTGATCTCGCGGCGGCGACCCAACACAAGGGCCAAACCATCATGCCGATCGAGAAGGTTGAGAAGGCGGTTGAGATGGTTACGGTTACCGATGAGATGAAGAACTTCGGCGCGTACAAGAAGCTCCGCGTCGAGCGTATGAACGTCCGACAAGTTGGCCCGCGCATCGTCAAGGCCATCCAGGCCGAGAAGGATGCCGAGGAAGCTGCCAAGTTGGCTAAGATGTGATTTGGTGAGAGTTTGAAGTAATCTTAGAGGGTCGGGTGTGTCGTCGACGTCTACGTTCTACATAGCAGGTAGATGGGTCGCGTAAATTTGTAAGCGAGAGAGCCTTTCGTTTCGTTACTTCGTTCCTGCGCTTTCCTAAACGCGAGTTATCGACCACGATCGATGGTCCTATTTGGCTTCGTTCGTGCGCGCTCACGAACGTCTCGTCGCCACGACGTCGCAGACACGACGTTATCCTCGCCGAGCTCGTTTGTCTCTGATGTCGACAGACCATATCTTCACTGTTAGGCACACATCGACCATGTCCTTCGTCGTCAGCGCTTCCGCGCGCGTCACCGCGACGATGAACACGTCTTCCAAGGCAAGTTCTTCCTAACGCTCGTATTCTCGCCCTGAGCGCCGTCCTCGGGGTGGCGACACGCGCGACACGTTACGGAGATATCCAACCGTCCCGCCTTGCCTGTTCCACTGACACTAGCGACTTCATCCCACGCAGCGCGTCGCCAATGCGTCCACACCCACTGCGCGAGGAGTCGCGATCGTTCCGCGCGCGTCGGGAGGGATCGTCGCCTTCATGGCGCTCGCGGGTGTCGCCGCCGGGGCCACCGTGATTAGCTCGAAGGCGATCGAGAAGCGATTGGACGACGAGATCGCCCTCGCGAAAAAAAACGGCATCGATCTCGAGGATTTGTATTTTGACATCGATGTCCCAGGCGACGCGTACCCGTTCGGTGACGCCGAGGGAATGGATTGGGTGCCAAAGGACTGGAAGCCGCCAAAGAAGGGTGACGCTCGATTTTTGCCAAACCGCATGTTGGGCAACGTGCAGATGAGGAACAAGATGTTTGCGCTTTCAAAACAGTGTAAAGAGAAAGGAATAGATGTCGAGGACATCTCTGTGCCGTTCGATCAGTACGAGGGCGAGTTTGATACGAACCAAAAGCGCATGATGGAGATGAGGCGACGACTCGGCATCTAAACGCCTCTCACGGAATCCGGAAACGTTGCACTAGGACGGTTTGTGAATTATTCTACAAGTACAAAATCTAACACTTATTATACACGTTGCGCTCATGCGCGCTCGGGGTCATCTCGAGCCTCGACCGACGGCTTCCCATACGTTCGCTCGCGCGAACCCGCCCTGCGCTCGGGGCCGTTGCTCCGCTCTCTTCACAGGCGGTGAGATAAGCACTGGGTACACACTCGACGCGACGACCGCCGCGGTGGCGCCAACGACTAGGGCACCGACGATTGCCCGCCCGGACGTGGACATTACCGCGCAAAGGAGTGACGAAGTGTCGCGTGGCGAGTGTCAGGTGAGCGGTTTTACAAGTATTCTTCTAATAGTTCTTCCAGGAGCTTCGCCTTGGCGGCATTTTCTTTGATCATCTCGTCCTGTGCCGCCAGAGCCTTCGAAACTTTACGTTCCTCTTCACCACACTCGACGCTGTCGCCGTTCGCCGCGGCTCCAACGCGACGTGAACCCACGTAACCAATGTCGTCGTCGTCTCTCTCGGTCGCGATCGCCGCTCGCTCCTTTAGTTCGTCGACACGTTGTTTCAGGAGAGGCAAATCGGCCTCAAATGCCTCCATTTGTGCCTTCAGAAGTTTTTCCGCCTTCGAGAGAGGATGTGGGATCGTCTTTTCCTTCTCAGCAAGAGTTCTGAGCCGCTCGCGAATATTTTTGTGTGTCTTCGCCGCGGACTCAACGCGCTCGACGAGCGCATTGTGACGTTCGACGGCGTCGTTCGCACTTGCTAATAGCGCCGTGACCTCTTCCTTCTGTCTCTTGATCTCTGCTGTCAGACGAAGCGACGTCGTGCGTACCTCGTCATGAACGTCCCTCGCATAGTCGACATAAATTTCCTTCAACGAGCTCGCGCACTTTGCCAACGCCTCGTTCGATCCCGGATCGCCCGTCTTCATGTCCGACGTGATCCCGCATTCCTGCATTATTTGTTCGATTGATTTCATCCTATCCTTTTGAATACCCTCGGACAAGGCTTGGAGCTCACTCCTTGAGCCTGCTTCGAGCGTCTGCGGCTGTACGGCGATAGCAGACGTGGACGGGCTGTAAGGAAGTAAGCTACTGTTCGCCTCGGCGATGACGCTCACGGGCGGCGGGATTAGCATTCTATGTGCCCCATCATTTCGAATGGCGACGACGACGCCCTCAGCCAGGGGATCACCGAGCGGGCGAATGCCTGCGAAGGGAATTGCATAGTCGCAAAGCGCAGTCACCTGAGGCATCGGCAACGCCTCAGGATCGGGATGGTTCTCGTCCACAGCATCCTCGATCGCGGCTTCGAGCGTAGGAAGCCACGTGAGCACGATCGAGTGCACGTTTCCGTTCACGCACACGAAGATGCGCTCTCGAAGGGCGGGGTCCCACGAGACGTCGGCAAATTTTACCTTCGCCAAACTTTGCTCTCCCGGGACCGCGCTCAGGCGAATCGTATCGACCGTGAGCAAAGTGGGAAGGTCTGGAGCGGAGGAAAAGGAATCGCTCATCACATATGTGTATCCACGCATGTTTTTGTGCGGTCCATCACACCAAGATGGTCTCACATCACACGGTATGACGTGCACGTGCACTGCACTTGCATGCAGCGTCGCCATGGTTCCTCCCCCGTCGACGTTGTAAAGCGGCGGCGAAACCGCGAGGCTGAGCGCGTCGTCTCCCTCAGTGGTACCTTTCGATGACAATGACACAGTTCGAGGCAGCGGGCCTTGCAGAGCCACGGGCCTTCCTTCTTCACGCTTGACGTGCGCCGTGAGCATGGGTACGTGCGCATCGCCGAGGTTGGGAAACGTCTCGCTCAACCACTCAGCCTCCTTTTCCGTCTTAACCTTTAAAGTTTTAAGCATCACTCGAGGATACTTTGCCCCTCGAGGTACCACCGGACACATCGCGTGCACATCGCCGCTCTTGGCGAGAAAATACACCGTGAATGCTCCCCAAGCGTTTTTCGGAGCGAAGGCAAAATCGACCACGTCGGGTCGCAGCGGTGACGCCTCGGGAAACGTCCCCGTGAGGTCGAGTCTCCAGCACCGCTCCACCACGGGTACTCCTCCGCCCGCGATGTCATCGCAGTTGATCAATCGGAACACTCCATCCGTCGTGAGCATTGCCAGCGTCGAGTCCGCGCTCGGATGCCACTCGCACCGCGCCACTCGCACGCTCGGTACCGCCTCGAACTCTTCCTCGCACACTCCCACGGCGACGCACTGCCGTTCCTCCGATACGCCATCGCTCGCGCTCGCAGATTCGTTCATGGTCGATCGCGTGGACCCAGCCGAGAGACACGCGACGTAGCACGCCGCCGTCTCGCGCGCGCCCGAACCCTCGTCCCGCTCGCCGCTCACACAGCAGTGCCTCCCGCTCGCGCTCACGCACGCTCGCTCAGCGGTGAACGCGCGCTCGTACGCGATCGCATGCTTCGTCACCGCGATTTCCGTGCCGTCAAAGTCTGGATCGTGGGCGTATCGAACTAAATCTCGACCGAGCGCCGATCGAAGCTCTCCTCGAGCGTTTAAAACGTACACCGCGCCTCGCTCGTCCTCGCACGCGATCGACGTTCGCGCACCGAACGCGTTGGATGATCCATCGATACCAGCGCTCGACGCCGCGCCGACGTGGTCGAACAAGGCGGGCATGGAGATCGTGGAGAGGCTCGAAGTGGAGACGCCTCCCGGGCGCTTCGTTCAGTCGGTTGGTCCCGGTCGGACGCGCGTCGAAACGATCGACACAGAGGGATCGACGGAGTCAAATGCATTACAAAACGGTACATGACGACAATTTCGTCGCGTTCGTTTTACCTCACGACGCATCGACGAACACGGTGCGCGCATTGAGGGTTTCGATGTCGCGCTCGATGAGCGCCAATTTGAGCTCGTGCGCCTCCTTGCGAGCGCGCCTGTTCGGCGTGTCCACGACGAACGGGAGCTTTTGATACGACGCGCTGAGCTTTGCGTGTTCAGTGCGCAGACGATCGATGAGCGTTTGTCGCTCGTCCTCTCGCAGGCGTCCGGCGGCTCTTCGCTCGGCTATATTTTTAGCGCGCGTCTCGCGTTCGCGTCTCGCCTCCTCCGCTCTCTCCCGATTGATCTCGATCAGGTACGCCGGCACGCGCCCAAACTCATCGTGCGTCGTCATCGTTTCGCTCGCATCATCACAATCACCAGCGTTCGCGTCACGCTTCCCTCGCTCGATGACCTCGCGCGCGTTTTCGTCCACGTAGTCTCGCGCTCGCGCGTCTCGCGTCGGCGGATTCCAGAAATCAGCCTCTCCCGGCACCGGCGGTTTCATCACCGCCCGCGCGCTCGCGAACACGACACCGACGTGCATTTCCTTCCCCCCCCCCGACGCCGTCATCCCTCGTCCCGATCGCAGAAACCTCCTCGGATCCGCCGCGCTTCGCCCGCGTCTCGGTCCAAAGCTCCGTCGTCCATCCCTCGTTCGCCCTCGTCCATGGTCCGGTCCCGTCGTCGCTCGCCCGTCGTCGTCTCGTCCCATGCGCGCGCGCACCTAGCTCTCGCCCTCGTCCTCGCCGCCGTCCTCGCGGCCCGTCGTCGTCTCGCCGCCGTCCTCCACCGTCGTCGTCGCCGTCGCGGTGTGCCGGTTCGCCTCCCCATCCGTCTCATCGCGTCATACCATTTTACACGCGGACCTTTTGGGTCCACGATGGACCGTCCCCGCGCCCCCGCGCGCGCCGTCCGCGATCGACGCGCGCGACGCGATGGCGACGACGGCGACGACGGCGGTCGCGATGCTCGGCGCGCGC